TTCCTGTAAATCTTACTCTCACATCAGGTAGCTAGCCAAAGCTGTCGCTACAGGTTGTATTACGATTGTATAAATTGAAACAGACGCTATTAGAACAAAATAGAAGAGAGGCACTTTAGGACTACTTTCTTCATATTTCCAACTTACTGTCATAGGCCTATAGTCCTTCAGAGTTGGAAGGGACCTGGCACATTGTCTCATCTGACTCCCACTTCATTCCTCCTTCCATCCACCCATCCATCCACGGCAGTGTGGCGATCTCTAGCTCCTTAATTATCTTGGGTATCAGTCCCCCTAATTAGACATTGTTTTTCTTCTTCTGAGCAAGTAGCCAAGTAATAAGCAACCTTCATGTCTTAAGGACATTCCTGCCAAGGAAACTAAAAGACAAAATAATCATAATGATTTATCATCAAGTCTCCGAGCTAGGGGGACCTCTGTGGGAGTCCATCAAGCCCAACCTATACCTGAGCAGTAATGCCCTTCTCAATATCCCCGCCAACTAGTTGCCTGGCCTCTATTTGCGGACCTCCTGCGATAAAGAATTTACCACGTGCTGAGGCAGCTCATTCACCTTTTACATATGTCTAATTATTAGGAAGTTTGTCCTTATGTTAAAACTTGAAACTTGCTTCCTGACAACTTCCAAACCCAGCTTTTGTCTTAGTTTCTTCCCTAAAAGCATTAAGAAGCTGGGTTAGCCAAAGGAGATGCATGGAGAGGTGAGGGGACAGACCTCTGCAAGACTGCCACCAGGAGGAGTGTGGGGGCTGGTGAGGCCGGTGAGTGGTGTCACTATGAGAAGAGAGTAAGACCCAAGTAGCCATTCTGCCTGAACCCAGGCGGATGGGAGGGGCTGCTTAGGACCCGCTGGCACAGACAGCTTGGACTGTGGGTAGAAGCAGGAAGATACTCAGGAAAAGAAGCTAACTTCTTTTAGAGCTTGGCTGAGAAGGCCCCGCTTGAGGCTGGACTGTCACCGCTTTGCATTACCCACTTGCATGGTTTGTACTATGATTAAGCCTTATACCAGGAATAGCTTTGCGTGCCCTCGAGATAGTGACTCTTCCTCAGGTTAGCTCTCTCAGAATGTCAAAGTTGGAAGGGACCTCAGGGCCACCTAGTCTGACCCACATCTGAACAACAGTCTCCCAAGTGATCCAGCCTTTGCTTAATGACCTCCAGGGATGGGGAACTCACTACTTCTGGAGGTGACCCATTCCCACCTTTTTATAACTCAATTATTGGGCAAATTTTCCTTCTATTAAACTTAAATCTTCTCTGCCATTGGCCAACTCCCCGCTCCTCCTTATTCCTAGTCCTGCTGATTCCCTTTCCATATGATTGCTATTCAAACACTGTCCACCATCAATCAGCCTTCTCTTCTCTGGGCTAAACCTCCCAATTCTTTCAACTGCTCCTCATATGGCATGGTGTCAAATCCCCTCACCATCCTGCTTGCCTGCCTTCCTCTGGATGGGTTCCAGCTTGTCAATATCTCTCCTAAAATGCTGTGCCCCACACTGATCACAATGCTCCAGATGTGAGTGGGCCGACCAGAACCGAGTACAGCAGGACTACTGCTTCCTCATTTTGGACGCTATGCTTCATTGCAGTCTAAGATCACATTAGCATTTTTGGCTGTCCTTTAGACTGGCAGCTACATCCTGGCTCGAACTGCATCTGGAGGAGAGGACACAGGACATCCTTGAAGTCTGAATTTCAAAAACACTCAGTCTTTAAAAATCCACTGTTCTGGCACTCTCCACTTTTAGGAAGGGCCACTGACACACTCTCCTTTTTGGGTCTTTCTGCTAGCCTCCTCCCCAGTGGAGTGGCCTCCGATTTTTTCCCTTTCCAATCCACTCTCCACACAGCTATCAAAAACATCTGCCTAATGCACAATCTGACCATACCACTCCCTTGCTTAAACCACCACCACCACCACAACTTTGTGGTTTTCTGTTGCTCCTAAGGTAAAATAGAAACTCTGCCTACCACTTACAGCCTCCTAAACTTTAGCTCCAATCTTCTTTTCCAACCTTATTTACCATTACTCTCTTATATGGGCAGAGGCATATATCCCATGCTCTAGATAGATTCTTTCTTCACGTCTACCTTTCTGAATCCTTGTTTCAAGGCCTAGTTCAGGTGCCACCACCTCTAGGACCCCACCTTAGCCCAGAGTCCTAATTTTCCTCCCTTAATTTTCCTTGACCCCTCTCTGCCTGGATCTCTCCTTTGTCCCTATATCACACTCTCCCTTCCTCATACTTATTTATGTATCTCGTATTCCCACTAAGATTACATTTCTCTCAGCATCCAGGTGGAGGGAGGAAGATTAAACCTTATCACAAATAAGGTGGCGAGTTCCAGGAAAACTGCTGCAAGCTAAACTTGTAGAATTCTGGTTTAGATGACCCCTGGGAACTCCCTAATTAAAGGAGCCTTATAAGGAATCTTTTTGTAAAATGAGAAGTTAGGGTTTTGGGGTTTGTGTTGGTGGTAGGATCTCTAATTTGTCTTTCAGAACAAATCTGATTTCTGTTTCTCAGCCTCACTTATATAGCAGTATATATCTCTCCTGCAGTCTACTATGAAACTGATGCATCACACATATTCAATTAGGATTCTAGCCAGCAGGGATGTCCCTGGGGATATAAGGGGAGGAGAGGGACTCAAAATGCGAGGGTGAGGAGTGAAGGTTACAAGGCCTGGGTAAGGCACGCTTTATCTTTTCCCACTATTTAACATTTTTATACAGGTGAAATCTCATCATGGTGACCATTTGAGTCACTCATGGGTAAAGTAAGAGGAAATAGGAATTTTTAAAAGTCTTCTTTGTTGGGGGGGAAATAAATAGGGAGTGAGGCTTGGGCCAGGAGTGCCACGGTGGCCCTCTCTTTCATATGTGGCAAAGTTTTCTTTTGAATACAGATTTTAGCTTCCCTCAACAGGCACAAGTATTCAAATGTATAAAATAGAGAGAAGAAAAATTAGCTTGCAGTATGGACACACAGCAGACTGCAAATGATTGTTACAAGAGTCTGTAGCCCTGGGTTATTTACTGATTGTTAACACCAACCCAAAGGATGTTTATATCGACTTTCACTCAGTACTACCCACTTCATCCTTGTTTTCCTGCTTCCTTTCCTTTTCTTTTCTGTGACGTGAATTTGTTGCTGTTATTTTTGTCATTAACTATATAGTTGTATTCCACGTTTGCATCGTTTTTTAGCTTTGCTTCTCCATTCTGTATAATTTCATGTAAATCCTCCTATGTTTACTTATATTCCTCATTTCATCATATCTTATGATAAGAACCCCATTACATTCCTATACCATTTCCCATTGGAAACTTGTCTGGTTACCCTTTTCTGCTACTCCAAAATGTTACTGCATAAATGTCTGCTGTATATATAGACATATCACTGGCATGCCTTTAAATTCTATCAATCACCTCCTTCTAGGGTTTCTTTTGTATTATTTTTAATAATTAACACTTGCTTGGCTCTGAAGATACAAGCGCAGACGACAGAGGGCTGCCCCTACAGAATCTACAATGCAACAATCCTTGATTCTTCAGCATGTTTTCAAAATTTAGAAGGTTTGAGATTATTGCAGCTGACTTGTTTTCTTCTAAGGATTTATACTTTCATATTAAGGACGATGTAGGAAAACCAAAAATACAGTAGAAAAGTTTTTTTTTTTTTTTTTTTAAATCTTTCCCTCCCCACCACCCCTTTTCCTGGTCATGAGCTCAGGCTTAAGGACCTTTCTCACAGCTAGCCCGAGCCCTTCCCCCACCCCCAAAGCAGAGAAAAATTTGAGACGACCTCCTAAAATGTCCTGTAGAGGTAGCTTAGGTAGAGGTTTGAGCTGTTCCTACCTTCTGTTCAATCTCCACACCTGAATCTACCAGTCTACCTATTTTGTCCATTTACAACGTTTGGTGGGCAGGGGGTGTAGAAAAGAGGGAAACTCAGGGCAGTATTGTCTGCATGGCTAGATCCTCTACCGTCTTAAATTTGCCTCACATTGTTGTGATAGTTCCCTTCCTTGCTTTCTATCAGAAAGACCACCTTCAATTCAGTAGGAAGAATTTTTGGTAGACAATAGGCAACAAGTTAAACACTGTGCTGTTCTTCCCACAATTTTTAATCTGTAAGATGCAGAAGGCTTTTTGATTTATGTTTCTTAAATTGTAAGCATTTCCCAACTAAAAATTTCAAGTGGAATTGGTTATACCTAGCCCTGAAATATGACTATTAAGCTATCTGCCTTTTCTTTCGGTCCTCATTTAAAATTAGTATTTTCTTTTCTCCATTTTCTCTGAGAAGCTTCTATAGGAAACCCATCGTTTACTCTTTCTCTCCCTTTCCTAAAGTGACTCCAAATTTTAGCTGCTAATCTATAAAAGCTAAAGAATAGGATTAGAAAAGTTCGGCCTCTTTGGGCTTCCAGGTAAGATGAGACTAGTTAGAAAATAGGAAATGAGGTTCAGACCTTAAGCAAAGAGAGAAAAAGAGCAAACACTTAATGCAATCTCCTGGTGGCCTGGGAGGAAATGGAAGACTACAGAGAGAGAGAGAAGTTTGATCGGAGGAGAGTGGGCAGGGGAAGCGAGGCAGGCAGCCTGGGACCCCGCCTAATCTGACTGGACTGCGACTCCCAAGTACTGGCTTCTGCGCCTGGCTGTGTGACCCTGGCCGAGTCACAGACCTTCTCCGGGAGCCGCGTCTCCAAAAGGGCGGCCTACAAGGCAATTTGAAAGCTCTTCCAGTGCTCAAACCCTAGGAGCCGAGGATCCCCTTTCCCCCACCACAGCCGCCTGACCCGCCAGCCAGCGTCCTCTGCCGTAAAGCCCCAGCCCTGAGAGAGGGCGGGGCGCGGCGCACGCGCCGGGCGCACCACGTGACCCCCGACCCGCGCTCACGTGACCCCCTGGCCTTCTGCCCCCGCCCCCCGCCAGGCTTAGGGGCAGGGCGCGTACAGCCGCCAGGGGTCAGCTGACGGGGCGCCCTCGGGGAAGGCTTCTCTTCGCTTCCTCCCACCTAGCCTGTATGGGCCGAGTGCGTGAGCGAGCTAGAGCGCGTGGCGTCACTGTCTCCGTAACCGTCGTCCCCTTCCCGGCGCTGGCCGAGATGGAACGGCTCGAGAAGACGACGTGGAGTGTGCTGCAGCCGCCCGAGCTGAGGTAGCCAGCCCGCCCTCCCCCCGGAAGAGAGCCGGGCCGGGGTGGGGGCGCAGCTGGGACCGGCCTGGCTTGGGGAGGAGGGAAGTGGGGGGATCAGGGACCGAGAGGCAGCCCATCTGCGCTACCTGCTGCCGGCCCAGGGCAGCCTGAGCCCACTGCCTGAGCCGATTTCTGCCGCGCCCATCTAGGCCTGCTGGTTTAAATTCGTATCCCCTTCTTAACCGAACTCAGAACTTTCTGGCCCGAGTCATTCTGGGATGGGTGTCCTGTTTCATCTCTTGTCCCCATACCTTAGCATTTACGTTCTACTTTGAAGCACTTCACCTAGGTGAGCTCATCTGATCCTCAACCAACCACTCCGCAAAATAGGTACAGGTGAGGAAATGAGGGTCGCCCAGCTAGGGAGGATCAGGGCTGTAATTCAAACACAGCACTTGCTGTCTCCAAGTCCAACACTCCACAGTTTAGACTGAAAGACTACCTACCAAGATAAGGGGAAAGAGTGCTGGCCCTTGAGTCAGAGGATCTGGGTTCAAATCTAGGCTCTACCTACATCCTGTTTGACCTCTGACAAGTTACCAAACTTTTCTAGGCTATCTTTTCTTCATTCGGAAGATAAAAGGATCGGACTCCGAGGTCCCAATTCAGCTACGAATTTATGAACTATGAATCCACTGGAAAGAGTCCTTTGAAGCCTGTGACCCTAGAGACCAAATAATTTTCACTGCCACTTAGCCACCAGAGTTTGCAATTGAATTGAGAAGGCCGAGAGAGCCTTATTCAAATTAAGGGAAACTTGTTTGCTTTACAAAGAATGTGGTAGCATACCCTTTCTATAAATATGCATAAGTGATTTTCAAGTGAATCAACCTCACTCAGCTTTTTTTGGGGAGATGGTAGGAATGACAATTGAATGTTGAGTCTTGTGTAAATAGATTTTTTTTTTTTAAACTATACCTTAGTGCATTAGAACTGCCACGCTCCATTTTAGTATGGAGCACAAGCTATGCCAAATCCTACCATGCTGAAAAGTTAGAGGGTTCTAGATTTAATCATTCTATCAGTAAACATTTGTTAAGCGCCTCTTAAGTGCCAGGCAATGTGCTGAGCCCCGGGGATACAAAAATGAAGCAAAAGACATTCCCTGCCCTCTAGTAGCTTACAGACGGGGGGGGGGGGGGGGGGGG